ATGAACAGCTAAGAGCCTGTCTACACTTACAGCCATAACTCCAAAGAACGAAGCAGCTGAACATAGAATACTCGAAATCCTCACCATTTGGTAAGTGTAACAGCTGAGATTGTCTAGTCGTAGCCACTTGACCAGAAGGAAAGTGTATAATGGTTGGCTAAAGAAACCAACGTAACATCAGAGCAGGAAAGACTCTGCAGCAAAGTTTTCAAAGTTTTTGCCATTGTAGACGTTTCGTGTATCACGTAGATTGTCACAATATTCAACATGATGGTTCAGTGTAAGATAGAAAACTGTTGAAGACGCAGTTGGCGATAAAAGTCGAACGAAGATCTACAAGTTCGGCATATGTAGGGAAATATTGCGAAGACTCGTTACAAAACAATTCGCCCATGATATTAACTCACATATAAAAGATCAGAACCTCTATTCCAGACAAATTGAATGTGTATCTAGTCCTCAGCAGGTCAACTTTTCTTGTTTTGGGCAGTGATTTTCTATATAACTGATTCCACTTTCCTTCTTAAATATCACCTCTCCTCCCAATAGCGATAAAGTTTAACAAAATAAAATCCGCCTGCCATGGTATGAATTCTTAAGATTTATGCCAATGACGAAAAAATAACTTACCTTCACACAAATTAGCGGATGGGGTCAGGATGTTCAATTGTATTCATTGTTTTAATCTACAATTTTCTCCCAAGGCTTGCCTTTTTAAGCATATATTCGACATGCTGTTACCTTTTTTCACCCATATGAGATTGACACAGGTTAACATCAGAACTGGAGAGTTACCATTGATTAAGGACACAAAGATAATCAAGAAAAACTCATATTTTGAATAGATTAAGTTCCCGTCTCAGCACAGGCTTGAACCACTTGCAGAAGATCTTTGGTCTACTTTTTAAAATGTCGAATTAAACTCATGTTGTCGCGTTCATAGATAGAATCCTGTTTGGAACAGGAGTACATTTCAGATTGCTAAATGTTATTTCAGTCTAATTTCGAATCGTTTACAATCCATGTAGAGGGATCCTTTCCATGAGGCTCTCAATGGGCTGATGGCTTTTACAGCGAAAAAGTTTATATGATTCCTGATTGTTGTAACCAGAAATAACTTTTACTGTTAACTTTGTTTACGACCATCAGTAAAAATTTGTCGATTTTTACCCCTAAAGTTTCCCTTCCTCTCGAATTCTAATTATTTGATATACTGTATATTCAAATTCCAAGCTGCCTTATTATTTAGCTTACGGGTAATACCACTGGGTTTATATTTGAACCTTCTTTGTTCCTATTTACTTTGTCGTAAATTTATACAGTCCTTGTAACCCACGCACTGTGGATCAGCTATCGACATAGACGACACTCGATGATCGGTTGTAGTAAACCCGAAATGTGCACTTAAGTTTTCTAGCAAATTATTAAAAACCAAGAAACAGCTACCTCGATCAACAAGGTCACGCAAAAAGAGAGCTGTCGCCGCAAAATTAGTTAAATAAAAATTAGGTGACGTTATCGAAGAGGTACATAAAGTGAAACACTTTTCCTCAAGCTTCGCTCTCGGAAAACTGTTCTCACCTTGGAACCGATAGTGTCTGCGGGCAAATACCCATGCATATCTTGGCTCCAAATAAGGGAGAATACATCGTGCTCAACCTCACCCAATAACAGCTTAGTGCCAGACCCCCGGCAAACCTCTCACCAACTCGTCTCCAATCTTCTTGTGCGCTACATAACCTTATTGCCAGACCCCCGGCAAACCTCTCACCGATTCGTCTCCAATCTTCCTGCAGCGTAATAATGAGAGACTGCTAACAGGACACGACATAAAAATAAATCAGAAGGATGCACTCGAATGATAAATTCCATAATGAGAACTTCCCAAATATCCATGGCTTTGCGCCTGGATCGCCCCGGAAACCTTAGAGGCTTTTCATAGTTATTTATTTCATTTCATTTTGATATGTGATGAAATATCAATTTCTATGTGTTAAGTGCATCCTTGGTTTGGTGCCTGTGGCGCTTTTTGGATGCTTCCCTCTCCGTATGTTTTTTACTTCAAGTTCTTTCTTTTACTTTCCTTTTTGCGTGTTGCAATGACTTTCAATGAATCAATGAGAGGAAAGTTAACACGCGAGCCGGCCGACATCAGTTATGACGTCGGTACGCCACCGTTTAAACAAATGCTGATTTTGACAGATTTTTGGGCAAATGCCGTGCAGTCAGAGATAAACTCAACAAAACAACAAAAAAGCCTTAAAACCTTGCTCGTTCAAAGCGTCCAATTTCTTTCTTTTTTCTTGGAATTCATCGCAATTTAAAGAGCAACGACGACCTTAATGTAGATAATACCATAACCGCTATCCTACTTTTATTTGCACTTACAAATTTAGCTTTGTTTTTCTATAACTGTAATCATTGCTTTATTAAAAACGTTCATGAAAGTTTTGGTATCACGGTTTTCTAACACCCCGGTCCTCGCTATTCCCGAATAAATTTTTCCGGTGATCGTGGCTATTAGAAGGATTTGCGTATAATTTAGGTTTTCTACAGTAGAAAGTCACTAAAAATAGCTCACCTGTCATCTATCTTTCTACGGAACCGATTATTGCTTATCACGCGGGGGAGGGGGAATTGAATAATGACAATATTTAAGACCCCCACCCCCCCTTCCCTGGCCTTCTTTATTAGCAGTTAATTTACAGTATTTTTTTTCTAATCCTCTTTTGTACTCTGTTGGCGATGATCCCTTGTCCGTTACCACTGAAATCCAGGAGAAATCAACCCTGTTACAAATATTCTCCGAGATTTTTCAATTAATTTTTCAAATTGCCACCTAATCATAGTGGATATGGCCGAAATTTAAGCTGTCGATTGTTTGTCAAAATCATGCAAATTTTAAACACTTTTCGCACGAGACTAATGTTTATTTTACTAAAACTCACAATTCGTACGAGACTAATGTTTATTTTACTAAAACTCACAATTTCGACCCATCATTTTGTCTAGAAATTGATAAGAATTATTAAATTAATTCGAACATCTATATGTTATTTGTATCGAAACGAGACGAGATAACAAAAATATATAAAGCGTGCTTAATTTTCAGTTCTCAAAACTGCGGCTGTCAGCCATTATCTAGAACCACGCAAGCATCTGCGAACTAATCAATTACTCTAAAGCAACCTTTGTTTATGTTTACATGTGCAGCCCTCTGCTTCGAATAAGTTTTTACTTTAAAAGTGACGTGTCAAGGCAAACGCAGTGCTTTTCACAGTTTGATTATTTAGCTAGGAATCTGTCTACAGTTAAAGCCACAACACCAAGGAACGAAGTACCTGAAAATGTATAACCTTAAATATTTAACACTCGGTAACTGTTACAGCCAAGATCCTTTAATTGTAGCACCTTCACCAGAATGATTTTTTTTTTGGAATTTTTTTATTTTTTTTGGCATTTTACAAAACATTACTCTACTTACGATACACTACAGGACTCAGTTACAGTACGTTGCTTACAATAGTTTACTGAGAACACACCACAAAGAAAGTATAGTTTAAAATAAACTTGATTACTGCATATGACTTAGTATCAATTACTTCCACTATCTACACGATACTCTACATTTACATTCCGTAACGACATATTGCACTCCTTTCAATATGTTACATAAACTACTTACAGTACCTTAAAAATAGTGTATAGCGAAATTGTGTGTTTTACAATAAAATTGACTTCGTATGCTACTCTACATTGTTTGGACACCCATCCCACAAAACGATATGTGGCAAAACCTTATTCCATTTCTGAAAATGTTTAGCTAATTTAACAACTTCACCAGAATGATGCACACAGTCCTTGAAAACGTCACGGAGTGATCAGTTATCAACATGGACGACGCTCGCTGCGCGATTGTAAATTGCGCGAGATGGCTGATTTCTTCTCTGAGACACTTTCCACAGTATGTCCATGATAGCGTGTCGAATGTGTCTCATCTTCCAGCAATAAATGACAGGGTTTAAAGATGAATTTAGGTATACAAGAGTCAATGAGAAAAGAAAAAAATTTACTGAAGATGAAGTCAAAATAAGGCAAATAAAATATGGCAAATAACAAACTAAAAACGCGAGATATACGTAGAATACACCCACTGTGGATTTAAAGAGGAGAGCAAAGCTCTTTATTTCATCAGACTGAGCTTGTTCTTGTACTTGTAAAGACTGAATCTGATTCTTGTGCCGTCGGGCAGTTAAATATATCTTGATGTACACCACAAATGTCAGAATCAAACCGAAAGCTA